CAGTGTCAGGAGGGCTGTGATCAGTCTTACATCGGGGAAACTAAACAGCCACTGGCCAAAAGGATGGCCCAGCACAGAAGATCAACATCATCAGGCCAGGACTCTGCGGTCTACACTCATCTCCAGGCCAGCGGTCACTCTTTCAGGGATGAAGATGTTCACATCCTGGACAGAGAGGAACGATGGTTTGAGAGAGGAGTAAAGGAGGCCATCTTTGTGAAAAGAAATCGTCCATCGTTAAACAGGGGTGGAGGCCTCCGGGTTCAACTGTCCCCCTCTTACAATGCTGTGATTGCTAGTATCACTCAGCCCTCTGTGAACAGTAAACAGCCATCAGTGTGCTAATGATCCATTGTTAGGCTGATGGTCCTTCTTGAGCATGTGATCAGCTGGTTTTGGTTGTCAGCAGCAAAACTGGTTGATCCACTCTGAGACGGTGCTATTTAAGAGACTGAGCTGAATACAGCTCCTCAGACTGAGGAAGTCTCTCGGATGAGAGACGAAACGTTTCTACATTTTTTTTTGTTGATTTGCTTTGGTTTTTTTTTTTTGAATGTCCAGAGGACCAGATTTAACTTTTTTAGATTTTTCTACCTGGATTATTGAGCATGCATCAGGATGTTTTTACATACAATTGTGGTAATATCACTGTACAGAACTCATGTGGGTGTGAAAAAGTTAATGACAAAAAAAAAATATTCAGACAGGCGCCGCCATTTTGTAGTTTTCTTTCATTCAGCCTCCAACTGTACAGTAATCACCACTCAGGCAGACTACATTTCCCACAAATCAGTGCTGTGCTGTACTGTAGTGCCTCTGGACACTGTTTTCTGCTGAACAGTATTTTTACAAAGTGAAGTCATGAGCTCTCCCTTAGAGATAGGGTGAGAAGCTCGATCATCCAGGAGGGACTCAGAGTAGAGCCGCTGCTTTTCCACGTCGAGAGGACCCAGTTGAGGTGGCTTGGGCATCTGTTTAGGATGCCTCCTGGACGCCTCCCTGGTGAGGTTTTCCGGACACGTCCCACTGGGAGGAGGCCCAGAGGAAGACTCAGGACACGCTGGAGGGACTATGTTTCTCGGCTGGCCTGGGAACACCTTGGGATTCCCCCGGAAGAGCTGGCCCAAGTGGCTGGGGAGAGGGAAGTCTGGGCCTCCCTACTTAGGCTGCTACCCCCGCGACCCAACCCCGGATAAGCGGAAGAAAATGGATGGATGGAAGTCATGACTGCTGAACCGGCCTTTCAAACATAAAATTTAATTCATGTCACATGGAAAAGTTTATTTTTTTAAAGAAAATTCAACTTTTTAAACATAAAATTAAAAATAAAGTAAATCAGCTGATTGGCTGTAACAGTACAAGACGTCTGTTTACCTGGATTCTTTTCTTTTTTTTTTTTTTTTTTTTT